CAACTGTTGACAACTGAAGTCAACTAGTTTGACCACAAGTCTTTTTGTGATCCTTGTCTAATGCTGATTCAGGTAAGATCAGCAGGAGGATTGAAAGAACTGCAAGCAAAGCTCAATGAAGTAACAAATTTGAGAGCCAGAATAAAGGAGATCCTAGCCGATGTAAGCAAAGTATTAATCGTTTGTTGATAAATTGAGTCTTTCAGATTGAGCGAACTCTCGGCAATGAAAGTAGAAGTGATGCAGAGCTTCGTCAAAGGCTGGGAGTAAATTGCCACCGAATCGCTAGCAATGGGCTTACTGAGCCATTCCTAAAGGTGAAGTGATCCTGCACCTTGTTAAGTAGAATTGTATTGGTATTAGTATGGTTTTAGGAGATGGCAAAAGCACGCACTGCGCTGACTTCCACTTTAGAAGAGGATAAAATATCAAAGAAAAAATTTGGCGAAAATTGGCAATCCATCGAGACCCTGAGCAAGCCCGAGGTACATTCGTAGTCTTTCTCAGTGAAAAAAAAAACTATTATCTTCAGAAAGAGCTGTATGCGCTTTTTCCACCTCGGCCAAATCGATTGGGAGATAAAACGCCGGAGGCAATGAGTTTTCTATTGAAATTGCTGGATAAAGCTCAAGAGATCAAATGCGAAAGGGTTGAGCTTCTGAAGGTACCAACTTTCCGTGTTTTTCACCTTTTTTCTTACGAAGAAGACTTGAAGGAAATTAATGCTAAACGCACTTCAACACCTGTGGATGATATGATACCTATAATCAGTCAGTCTAAATTTTGTAGTGATGATACCATTATCAAAGAAAAATTAAAAGAGGTAAAGAGAAGAGATTCCAAGTATTCACTTAGAAAAGATTTTTTTCAAGATTTGCGATCCGATCAAAGAAGAAGTGGATAAAAGTCTGAAAAAACAAACTACGCTTATGAATGATGTAGAGGTAATCCTTTTCAGGAAAACTCTTAGAGAATTTTTCTGAGAGCGAGACAAAATTTCTTCTGATAAAGGAACACCTATCAAATTTTTTGGGATGTTCTCAGATTTTAGGAAGCCATAATTTGTAATATCATGAAAAAGGGATGCCAAATTGTGTTTGAAAAAAAGAGAGCACGAATCCAAACTGACAATTTTTTGCTCAGAAATGGAGCACACGATTCTCTACCCATGCAAGTTCGAAAAGCCCCATAGGTAGGACACACATAGAAAAATCCTTGGCATATGGCTATGAAGTGTTCCGTGAACTCAATAGTAAGCTTCCAAAAAGAGTGAAGGTACTTCGATAAAAAATGGACTATTTGTAAACAGATAGACTCTTCAGAATTGTCACAGCCTACTCGATAGCCTCCTTCGGCTACAACAAAAAGTCAACGATTTTTATTTTGCACGAGAAACTGAAAAGGATGAGCTGCTGCGGACATATCAGCATAGTGTTCATACTCATACAGGTAAATAACCGCTAATCGGTCGAAAGTCGCCGAACTCCATCGGATTTCATCAAAGTGCGCGCCGCAGCACCATATCTTGAACCAGAGTGAACGAATTCTGATTTCAAGGGCACTATTCTAACAGCTCGACGAAGCGCATCTTCCGACAAGCATGTCCTTCTGGGCACGGGAGTGGATCAAATTTACGGATCTTTTTAAATTTTTGCTTACGGTAGGTTACTCAGTGTGCTTATTCATTGCACTCACTGACTGATCTACCAAAGCAAAAATTTCAAAAGTTGCCTGAAACTTAAGGCAGTGTCCTCCCAAAAATTCGCATTCCAGTTTTTCAACTTTTTGGAGCCTTTTCGCCATGCTGAAGCCATTATCTGGGCTTTTCAGCGCATGAAAATGGCTAAAATGAGCTTT